GAGAAGAAGTGTCACGGTTCAGCGACTGGTTCTGACACATCACCAGCTGAGGTCAGAACACAGAACCAGAACATGGTTCTTTAACGTGTTCCACGGCAGAACCTCTAAAGAACCGAACACAAGCTCATGGTGATTCAAGTTTTTAATCAACAGACTGAAGATGTTTTAGTCTCTATCTTTGTTGTGATCTGTTACCATGGTTACAGCTGTTTACTCGTTAACTCAGACTCCATGTGACTGCAGTGAAACTCTCATCATAAACTGTGAACCATTAACTCTCTCTGTGGTTCTGCTCACTTAGCATTAGCATTAGCTGCCTGTTCGCTCCACTGTTAATCAGCTGATCCTTAAGAAGCTGATTGGCTGAAACACTGTTGTGAGTCTTTGGGAGAAGCTGAATGGTCATGTGATGTTGATGAACTGACTTGTTCCCTCTCAGAGCAACATGGATGAGATTTGACTGAAGCAAAGTGAACGTTAATGAACGTTAATGAACGTTAATGAACGTTAATGAACCTTCATGTTTCTGTAGTTTGTCCTCAGGTCAAACAGATGAAGCGGCTTCAGTTGTTTCTGACTGATGGAGGAGGCGGTTGATGACGAGGAGCTGCAGTGAGGTCACATTCAGACAGTTAAAACAGTCATTAGTTCATTAGTTCATTAGTTCATTGATGAAAACAGGTCCAGTGCTGTGGTTTAAACCTGTGGTTCAGTCCAGTCCAGATAAAAGTCCAGGTTCAGGTCTTGAGTCCCAGACTGTCCCAGTGTTTCTCTGTGGTCTCTGGATCTGGTCTGTGATCAGTTTTGGTTCCACATGCTCTCCACAGTGACTTTGACTTGAAACTGACCACAGTGGTCACATGACGCGAGTCCCGGTCTGAAACACCAGGACCAGGTCTGCTTTTAGAGCTGCAGCAGTGTGTGATGGAGGGTTTGGTTCAGCTGAATCTGCTGCTCTGCTATTACACAGTCTGTATTTAACCATGAGTCAGCATCTTATTATTCAGACCTTTGTTTGGAGCTGCTGTCGCTGTGATCCGCCTCAGCCTCTTTAACAGCCTGTCGAAGGCGGGAATGTTGTGGCTTTATTCTGCCTCACTGTTCTTTATAAAAGGTATGAACACAGAGCGAGGGGGGGGGCGTTGTTGTTCTGCCTTTAATCTGGATCACTGTCTGTGTAGAAGAGAGAAGCAGCATCATGTTTATAAAGAAGAAACCGTGGAGAACCTCGTTTAAAGTCTTTGATAATGACAGGAATCCTGAGTCTTTCTCAGCTGTTTGTTCTCTGGCCTCACCTGTTGACATGAAGGTGGAAGATTTCTGCCTTTATTGTGACAGGACAGTGAGAACGAGTCCTGATCAGTAGTTCATCAGCTGCTCCATCCACCACCAATCAGTCTCCATGTTTTCTCCGGACTTACCATTATAAGTAGGCTTTTAATTTGAAAAAACACCAGGAAGTGTTGACAGTCGCTTCTCATTGATCAAGAGTACGACAAAGAAAAAACTGATGAATTAAAGCTGTGGAAATTATTCTTATTATTACAAAGAAAGCGTCTGTGGTTAGTTCATGTCTGTAAGTTTTTAATGATTTCATGAATTATGAAAGTTTAAAAAATCAGCTCTGAAATAATCTGTGGATTCTTTTCTCAGTTAATCAATAATGATTTGATCAGTGAAACATCAGAAATATCTTGTAACCAGCAAGAAGAACAGATTGTTAATTGTTCCAGCTTTAATTAGCTTCATGGACGTTATGATTCTCGGTGAAATCCGTCTCATGAAACAACATCAGGACGTGTTTTCTTTTCATCTGTGACTCGTCTCTTCACATGAAACTCAGTCAGAGTGGTAAAGAAACTCC